AGGCAGCAGTTTGTACATTTTGCAGATCCAGGCCGAACTTTGATATAGGGCAACCAAAGCCCAAAGCCCAAACCCCTGCCAACCCTAAACCTCTGAGCCCGGAACCCTGAACCCTGAACCCTGAAACCTAAACCCTGAACCCTAAACCCTAAACCCTAAACCCTAAACCCTGAACCCTAAACCCTAAACCCTAAACCCTGAAACCTAAACCCTGAACCCTAAACCCTGAAACCAACTGCCGGCATGGGGCTGCGTGAAGGGCGAGGATCAGCCCTCCCACCTGGGTAGTAACATGTTAGGGTTTAGGGTTTAGGGTTTGGGGTTTAGGGTTTAGGGTTTAGGCTTAGGGTTTAGGGTTTGGGGTCAAGAGGTGGAGGTAGGAAACCTTTGGAACCCCGATGAGTTGCACAAAGTCGGAGCTTGTGGCATGTTGTGTGTTGTGGCTCAATACTGGTTTAGGGATTGTGGTTGGGTTCAGGGTTCAGGGTCCAGGGTTTACGGTTTAGGGTTTAGGGGGGGCTGGGGCGACCAAGCTGCGCAAGCACGCGGTAGAGCGCCCCCCCCCCCCCCCCCCCCCGAAATCTACAGAAAAGCCTGCACCATATACACCCCCTAAACCCAAAACCCTAAACCCTAAAAACCCCAAAAAAAACCCTAAACAAGCTTTTTTCTCTCTCCGGAAAAGGCCGAGCTCAAGGAAGTTCTTGAAGACCTTAGGCCTCGGGGGGCGATCGGCAGTCACCTTCCAAGGCACAGAGCAGATCTCCTCCCAAGGGCTTTCTTGCTTGGCAGCCCAGGAACAGGGTTTAGGGTTTAGGGTTTAGGGTTTAGGGTTTAGGGTTTAGGGTTTAGGGTTCAAGGGCTAAGATTTGAGGTTTAGGGGGTAGAAACATGGTGCCCCCCGGCCCCCCACCCCCCCCCCCCCCACACTTTTCCTAAATGGGTTGCTGGCTTTTTCAATGAGCCTGGAGTGCCGCACCAGAGGGGCAAAAGGATACCACTGGGCTCCCAAGCGTTTCTGAAGGATTCGGAGAGTTAACGAGACCCAGGAGTATGGAACACGAAGGGTGCCCTTATTGGGTTTTTCGGGGACGTAAAAGGGAAACCCCCAACCCTCAAAAATAACCACATTCTACTGAAACAGAGCACCCTTTTTGGGGTCGGGTTGGCTACTGCATTCTTATAGGAAACCCTGAGCCAACTAGAAAAGGGCAACAAGGGTACCGCCGGGCTATCAAGGGAGACTTGCGGGAGCCTCCACCACGCACGGGACTGAGCGACCTCAGTCTCCCTTTCAAGAGTGCGGTACGACTCATAAGCAAACCCGGAGCCAGGCCACATCGAGACATTCCCCTAAGGGTTTAGTGTTTCGGGTTTCGGGTTTAGGGTTTCGGGTTTAGGGTTTAGGGGCCCCATGCAACATTAGATTTCTTCCGTGGCTTTATAAGGATTATGACTCGGGGTACTGAAATATGAAGAGTACGTCCTAAACCCTAAACCCTAAACCCTAAACCCTAAACCCTAAACCCTAAACCCTAAGCCCTAAGCCCTAAACCCTGTAAACCCTAAACCCCAAAACGACTTGCAGGGGCGTCACAACCACCAGATCCAGGAGAAACCTAAGAAAAACAAAAAGAGTACCCTTTTTGGGACCCTAAACCCTAAACCAACCCTAAACCCTAAACCCTAAACCCTAAACCCTAAACCCTAAACCCTAAACCCTAAACCCTAAACCCTAAACCCTAAAGGGAATAAGGGGCTACTCTGGGTCCTAGACCAAGCAGGACGGTCCCCCAAAACACGCTGGACCTTCTTCGGCCGAAGGGAACGGCGGGGTTGTTGCGAATTGCAGGGTTCTGCGCACAGGGGTTTTCTTTGGGTTTAGGGTTTAGGGATTAGGGTTTAGGGTTTAGGGTTTAGGGTTTCTTCGGGTTTAGGGTTTAGGGTCTAGGGTTGAGTTGGCAACGCCGCGCAGCTGAACTGCAAGAAAGGTCTCGCTTGGCCTGCTCGGGCCGGCTGCTTGGCTCACGACTCTACGCATCCACGGCTCCTGAGGGAGCCCAATACCTCTAAACCCTAAACCCTAAACCCGAAACCCTAAACCTTAAACCCTTGACCCTAAACCCTGAATTAAGGAACATGCCTTAAATTACCAAAGAGGTCCGGAAAATGATGTAAGGTATCCTGAATTATGAGGTCTATTGCTTATTTGAGAAGTACTGGGCTCTTTGGGTCCTCTGTCGACAGACCGACAAGTCAGGAGAGGAGAGACAATACGGCGAACTGCGGCGCTCCTCCGGCGTTCCGCGTGTGGCTTCTGGACCCTAAACCCTAAACCCTAAACCCTCAACCCTAAGCCCTAAACCCGAAGATTTGGAGGTGCTCCGAATGGAAATAGGAGTGGGGATGGAAGGCTGGGGGTTAATTAAGGGTTTCGGTATATTTATAGGGCGTGCAGGGCTTGTCAAGGTTTAGGTTTGTCTGTGTCAGGAGTTGGACGCCCCCAAAACCCCCCGAACTATAGTTTGGGAAATCCACCAATGCAATCCGTTAAGCCATGAAACACAGGCGCACTTCTACCTTTTTGTCTCAGAGGGCTTGAGTGCGATAGGTGCAACATACATGAAGGCAAAAGTGGCAAGGAGGTCCGAATATAAAATACACCCCCCTCGTCGAAGCGTGAAATGCTGAGGCGCTGTCAACGAAGCCACGGCGAACACAGTTTGTGCCGCATTGCCTTTTCTACTGCATGTTCAGAGCACTGTAGCCCGAGGTGTGAATTCCGAAAACACACCGCCGATCACCGCGCACCGACTTCAAAAATATTCCGGCCAGCCCTAAGAGGCGGCGTATTCTTTGTTTGGTTCCGTTTGCTGGAACGTCGGCGGGGATACAGACACGGTATGAGCAAACACTGCAAAACACAACGCGTGCCGCAAAAGAGGAAAACATGGCGATGGCAAACGTGTTGTGCAAACGCAAAATGTGGAAAATTACCACCTGCGGCTATGATCATAGCGCCATGGAGTGTGGCGATCTTGCTGCCAGCTGCTCCAGTCACTTTCAGGCCATCGATTCTCAGAGCGCCAGTCTCCCGACCACCAAGTTCCGTGGTCAGACCAGCCCCACGTTGAGGACGACCATACATCGGCCTCCTCATGGCGAGGGGCGTTGCGCTCCTGCTGCCGGGCACGACGTTCATCCGCGAGCCTTTGTGCTGCACGTGAGGCCTCGGCGTCATCTTTCATCTGGCCAACCAATGTTCTCGCTGCGGAATGGTTGTCACGAACCACCGCCTTCAGGAAGACCTTGATGTCGCCGGCCTCAGTCGCATGTGGGAGCTCAATGGTGCCTTCGCAGAAGGTAAGGATATGGCTCACCCCCCTCGTAAAGAAGGCGACGCGAGAGAAATCCTCAACACCATAGAAGCTACCAAGCCAGGCAAAACCGATGGGCTCCTCCTGGTCATTCGACAATAATCCGGCCTGGATGAGATCACCGGCGGGCTTGTCGAAGTACACCATGCGGCAAAGTGCCGTGTGGTCCACTTGGCTTGCTTCCAAACGACGGCTCGATCCGTAACCCAATGCTCTCTGTTCACGATTGCGGCCAGGATTCGGGAGATAAGCGAAAGCAACGCACTCCTGAATTGACAACAACCGGCGTGTCCATCCATTTCGGACCGCGTAAATGGCATAGTTGTGGTCAGAATCGAACTTGTCGAGCATGCCAGAGTGTCCTTGGCCGCGGAAGTGCTTAAGGCTTTGCTTTGCTTGAGCAATAGCCTTTCCATCGACAGACTGAGCGCCGCGGTTGTCGTGCTGCCCTGAGCCCCGGCGTACCTGGTCAGCCGTCAGCTGCCAGAGCCGGTAGCCAGTTTCCTGGGCGATCTGGTCGAGGACGTCGTTGCGCTTGCGGCTCATAAACATGCGGAACGTTGACTGCCTGCTTCCTTTGGTCAAGAAGCAGCCACAATGGAAGCAACGATGCTGCCCTTCCAAACGCAGGTTGCCGCAATGATCGCACTGGATGCGGGTCAGGCTCCCGGCGCGCTGAGTACCAGCCGCTTGACCAGAGGATGCTGCACCAACATCTGCATCGTCACCAGCGACGATCTCGATATATCCAGCAGTCGACCTAGTAGGCGAAATCTCCTGGATGTCAATGTCGGTGTTGAACGTCACCCTCGGGCCTTCGGGAACATCTTCGTCTGTACCCAAAGCATCCGCCGCAACTGGGAGCTCGACCTTGATGATTGGCTTGATCGCAACGTCTTCAGGCTCCTCGTCCTCGAGCTCGTAGATGACCTCCACGGTATCTTGTGGTTCGTCTCCACCGGCGGGAAGAGTAAAACCGGCCTCCTCAGATTGAGGGGCATCAGTTTCCTCGACTCTGCTCCAGATGACGGTGTCAGACGCCGTGTCCCGTATATACAGCACGCAGCTGCCAGGGACCGACTGACTGGAGAGCACACCTTCTGATCTGGAGTAAAAGAGCCCCACGCCAAGTCGGAGAGCCTCACGTGTGTCAACCACAAGCTCGAAAGGTCGATCGGCACGTACACCAGCACGATTTTCGTGATGTCCGACTTCGCGATCAGAAAAATACACATGGGCGTTGGCTGTTCGGTAGCCGGGGTAGAAGGCTGATTGCACAATCTTGAAGGCGCGGTCCTTGAATGTTCTGTGGTAGAGACGTTTGGGAGTCTCTTCCCAGCAAAGGACCGGCCTACCTTCAAAGGTGGCGTCGTGGTCACTCATCTCATTCTTCGGGATACACGACAGCCAGCAGTCGCAAATTTGCTCGTCGGACGCAGTCTCCATCAAACCTTTTGAATGCCCCTGCCTAGCCCGTATAAGCACAGGGTATCCGGCCAGACCATAGTAGTCGGCGAGTTGATGGTTTCTGTCGGCCTTGAGCTCAAAGCGACCCTTGTTGTCGTTCTTCACCATGGACAACAAGATGCCAAGACCGTAGCTGGTGCCGCAATCATAGTTCACACGATCGAGAACATCACGGGTCCGACACCAAAGCTCCGAGTCGTGCATGTCGTCGCAGATTTTGCCTCTAACGACCCCGGTCACATAATTCCGAGTCCCACGCGGAATTGGCACAGTGGAAAAATTGGGGAGATCCTCAGGGGACAGGATCACCCAGTCGGCCTCATCATCGGATGGGCGTTGTGCGATCGTGTCCCAGTCGAGGCCCAACATGTCGACGAGCTGGAAGTCATCGGACACCCTGAGGTATCCTGTGGGGATAACTTCGTCGCCGCTTCCACTGGTCTTCGCCTTCTTCGGCTGTGATGGCCCAATCTCTGCGGCTGCGGCTGAAGAAGATGCAGACGATGCTTTGTCGAACACCTCGCCGCGCCCAAGCAAACGTTGCTTGGTTGCCTCAGGGTCCCGGTTTGTTGCAGCCCGCGATGCAGCGATGACGGCCTCCCCAGGGCGGGGGGCGTTGTCGACTGCTTCTTGCTGGCTAGCCTCGAATTGAGACCTTGGGACGTATTCGCCGCTTTCCAATCGGACCATGTTGGGGAACTCGCGGTCCTGCAGGCGGATTGGTGCCCCAGATGGGAAGCTCTCCGCCGGGCCATCAAAATAGACGTCGTCCCACGGATCGGCCTCGACCAGTGGCTGGTAGACCTCTCTTGCCCTCGTCCTCTGCAGCCTCTTGAAGATCTGGTCGTCAATCTGCGCGCCCACGGCGAACCGAGCATTCGGTCGCGGGACGTGCTGGTAATTCACCAGTGTGCGATCCAGGTCCTCAGTGCGGAAAAACGAGCATTGATGGCGCAGCACCATGATTCGAGCCGTGGCTCCAATCCACCGAAGCAGTTGCCGTCGATGATTGGTGTCCTCAAGGAAGTGATATGAGTCGTACTTCCTGATTTGGGTTGCAGGCACATTGAAGTTTTTCACGGCCAGCCCAATCTGGGCGGCATAGTCAAGGATCTCCTCCATCAAAGTGCCCCACTCTCTCGGGAGAAAGTAGGCCTTGTGGTCCGTCGCAGAGGTGAGGAGGACGGTACCAACGTGGGGGCGCTTCTGGAGTTCCTTGAGCTTGTGCAACTCACGCAGAATTTTGGGGCCTATGAAGCTCCACTGTCCTTGCGCGACATGCGGCTTTCCCCTCCAATGCTCAGTTGAAGGTTTATAGTTCGGATCCAAGAACAGCCCCTTTTCGCCCACAAGTTCATTTGCGTTCCAGACGATCATCACATCCACTGACAAGGTCTTGTCGATTGCACCAGCCCTCTCCCACATGTTGATCTTGTCAACGGCGAGCTGTACCAGCCGCGTGAGATTCGACCCCCATGACGGGATGTACTCGACTCCTTGAAAGTCGGGAAACACATTGGTGCGGTTGACAGTGATGTCGGCGAGCAAATCGGTCTTGTAGTTCCCCTCAGTCAGGAAAGTGGTAGACGAGTCAGCAACGATGATCAATGAGCGCAAGCGGCCACGAATGTGTTCGGGCTGGAGCATGGCAAGGCCTTGATCACTAAGTAAGCCGACTTTTGCCACATTCCCGCATTCCGCGGGGTTCTTGAAGGCAAATTCACAAAGTACAGGACGCGGCACATATTTGTAAAACTCGTTCACGGCGTGCTCGCCGTCCTCCAGTGCTGCCATGGTCCGATATTCCGAACAAAGAGCGGTCTCAGTGAGACGGCGTGCCCACCAGCTGAAAAGCACCTCCGTTGGTGCAACGATGCCAGCGGTGGTTCGCTCCATGTTCGGCGAGCAGTGGACTGCCGCGATGGCGCAGCAGGCAACTACGGTGTTTGTAGTCTCGAAATCACACGTGCTAGTTTCGGTGCGAGTTTGCGACAACGTGTTGATAGCACATGCGGAATGTTTCGAAAGACTGTCACAAAACACTTTCCAGTCATGGTGAATGCAATCAGTCATGACGTAGGTGTAGCTCTCAGAGTTCCTAAGGTCCTTGCCCCTAGACTCTCCGTGTTTGTGATTGTGGTCACACCTATGAGCTGCCAGCCGCTACATTGGAACAGAAGATGCAACGATCCATGCCTTCCTTAGTGGGAGTCCTTGGTGATCCAAGATCCCTAGCATGCATCCGTCGCAACGATACAGCTCAAGATCGTAATCCTGAATCAGCTTTTGCACTTCACCCCACTTCCAATAATCACACTCTTTCGGGAGCTCAAAAGCAACCTGTGGTTTGAAAGTTTTCATTCTGCGCAAGAGAGACTTAAGCTGTTTCAACAGTTCAATGAACAAGCTTTGGTGTTGCTGCCATTTGGGGCTGTTAGGAGTCATTCTGTTCCACGGACAACCACCCGTACACGGAAGCGACGCAAACACGAGAATCGGCTTAAATGCTCCCCCCTCGTCGCAGAGGGTATGGATTTGGGAAACAACCGACTTCAGCGTAGAGTCCTTGAGGGCGTTTTGTTGGTCCGTAACACGAATGATCTTACAACCCTTAGCAGCCGGACGCGCTTCACCCAAGCGACTATCGGGCGAACAACAAAACTCAACGATGATTCGTTTGCAGCCCGACGGCCTCGAGAGATCTCGGGCAGGCGAAGCGGTGACGGCCGGCGCAGGCAGCCTGAAGTGGAGTTCTTTGAGTTTGTCTGTCTCGTCACTAGCAAGTGATTCTTGCGAGCGCGAGGAGTAAGCGACAATGGAAAAACGGGTTCCTGTAAAAGGCAAAACGCAGTGTAAGTTCCGAGGGTTAAAGACGAGAGCTTTGTTGTGTGTGGACACAGCACGACCTTTAAGGCGCTTGCCGTTGGGGCCAACTCTGACAATGGCACTATTAGATGAAACACTAGGGTCCTCCAACCACAACTCTCCTCCTTTAAAATCCCCAACACTGATTGCGAAGCTCATGCTGTCCTTAGCATTCCCATGGTCCTTGTGCACAGAGGCACCAGTGCTGCTGCTGAGCAACACGGAATTCCAGGTGAAATCTTGCGGAGCATGTGCTCGCACTACGCCGTTTAGGAACCTGGCAATCTGAGGCCACCGGCGGGTCGCCTTGGTCACCCCTTGCATGCCCCCGTAAGTCCATTGCCCAAAGATGTGGTAGTAGCTGCGATTATCAAGCTTAATCATCTTTCGCTTGGTTTTGTTGGGATACATGAATTGGGCAACACGCAACAAAGCCTTAGTACTAAAGTCGCGTTCCTTGTTGAGCTCTTCTGCGATCGCACAAGGGTCGTTCAGCGGCTGCACCACAGGGTGAGCGTGAACGACTGGCTTGTTGATGAGATGAGCATCGGACTCGTGTGCCTTAGACTGGCGCCCCCCCTGAAGTGGGGCATCAACGTGCGCGATGAGCCTAAGTGCATGTTCCCATTTACCTCGGTCAGCGAAAGGTTTAGTAAAGATATCAGCTACTTGCTCTTTGGTGTCAACATTAATCATGTCGAAAAAGTTACGCTCGAATTGTTGTTTGATCCAGGCGAACGAAATGCGCTGAGTCCGGTCGGTGTGTCGTAGTTTTTCGCTGTCACCTTTGAGGAGGATAGTTATGGTAGCTTGGTTGTCCTCAAGGAGTTGAACGGCAAACTTGGGACTAAGATGAACCCTGAGGCCGTTTAAGTCAGAAACGCTTCGTCCATCCGCCCTGCACTCGCCATACCGGATCTCATCAAGTTCAGGATCAATTCGTGCGATGATGTCGTCTTCCCTTTGATTAGGCTTGGTTTTCGGCCTAGCTTGGTAGCTGGCGGTCCTACTCGCAACCTCACGCCACAGGAAAATCCAAAGACTGAGGCTGGGCAGACCTTGGGCACGAATACCTTGGTTGGCAGCCACAACCTCACTCTCCGTGCTTGAAGTGGTGATGCTGGTCTGTTTCTTGGAAAAAGCATTTAGGGAAAAGTAAGTGTTGGGGCCTACCAAGTAAAGGGCACAGCCTGAAGTGGATTTACTGTCGTGGCTACCAGCGTGGTCAGCATCGCAGAACATCCACAACTTACAATCCTGAATGCGATCCCCAATGAATCCCCTCATCCGAACTTCAAGAGAAGAGTTTATGTAACTGATCAACCTGTGCAAAGCAACGTCACAGTCGCGAGACCACTTGGTGACTCTGGATGCAAGTGCCTGAGTGGCGCGTAACAAGTCCCACCTGGCCATTCTCGCAGCGAACAAAACCTTCATGAGTACACGGCTAGCAATGGGTTGCAGCTTACCACTAGGTTCGTTGCTCTCCAAAACCTTTGCTACTCGATTCTCATGGAAAGGGGTCGCTACGTGTTTCAGGGATTTCTTGTCAACCTTGGCCAACTCACAGTACCTATCAACACAGGACACCAAGAAATCTCGCATGTCGTAGTACACAACGTTCACGGGCACAGTCATGGAAGGGGTTTTTCCCTGGCTGATAGATTCAGTGCTCTTGAACTTACTCTGTCGTGCTTCTCGTTTAGCTTCGGCTTTGGACCGCTTGGGTTTATAGCGCTTAGCTGCGAGAGCGTGAGAAAAGTCCTCGTCACTGACCTCAGCGATAGGGAAATATGTTTTCCCAGTCCACCAACCTGATTGGTCCGCGGGCCCCCCCTGATTCAAGTCATCATGGATAGGGTCCCTACCATCATCAAACACCGTGATTCGTTGACAGCTTATGTGGGGAAACTTCGACACGTCGTCCTGCGTAGGTACATAAAGTTTCCTACGAGGATAGATGTGATGCCTAACGACTGCAGCTAACTCAGCGTCGACCTCCCAAAAGTCCTCTTTGCGATTCGGCCGGACTTGGTAGTCGGCAGCTGGGCTAGCGTGCTTCTTGTCGAAGACGTAGGCGAATGGGTGGTCCTCCCGTGAAAGCTGGACCTGATTTTGCTCGACGTGATGACACCCGAAGTACCGTCCCAAGACCTCGGCTGGTTCCATGTCAATCACCTTAGCGATCAACTCCCAACCCTTGTTGATTTTGTCTTGGGGGCCGGCCATCTTGAAGTCATCAACGTATACAACAAGCAACAAATCTAGTTCAGCATGGTAGAATACAGAATGCCAAATGTCGGGTAGAACTGCAGTAAAACCAACACTCTCTAACTGTTCGGTACAGTACCTTTCCCAGATACCGCCTGAGTCAGGGTGGCCGTACAAAGCGAGCCTGAGTGGGCAAACAGGATCTTCATACCCAGACCATTCTTTTGGCCATCTGTTTCGAGGAAGACGGACCCACGTTTCGATGCCTTTAAAAAGGGCTTGTGTATATGCAGCAATGCCATCAGCCTGCTGTTTCACGTACCCGGGTTGGCTACCAAACGCATCGATGATTTTCCCGGCCTCCATACTAGCGGGGCTTGAACCTAGTTCGGCGAAAATGGCGTGATCGTGGTTTTCGTCCTGGACGTTGTTGCCCTGGAAAACGCTACGACCCTTCCATTTCTTCTGGGGGTGCCCGTCCGGGAGTTCATCCCCCTTGACCGAACAAATCTCAAAGACTTTCCCGAAATGGGCCTTGACATTCTTGTGTTTGGCTTCAGCTGCAACATCCCGGTACTCTCGAACCTTCTTTTCGAGCCAGCAAGACTTATCGGCAAGCTTCTTCCATTCTCGGTCCATGGCTTCTTTAGCAGCGGGAGTACTTTCGATCTCTTTAGGCCCGACAACCCTGGCAACCATAGCAAACATCTCACTCGCAACCTGACCAAGCTTGGCCCAGTACAAAGACGCCATGCGATCTCTATGGGGCTCAGGATCAGGTTCGGTGACGACGGGCATGGCCGGGGAATCTCTAAGGGCCTTGCGAGCATCCTCCTCGGCTTCACGAGCCTTCTTACGTTCGAATCTTTCAATGTCAGCCTCCCGTTGTGCCTTGGAATACATGTGCCAAAATTCCGAAGAAGTATCGGGTGGCCTTTTGGAACCTTTCTTATCCCTAACCAATCTCACCCCGTCCCAGTTGTACCCTTTTGGGACTTTCCTCCCATCAGGCATGGTCTTGGGGTCATGTCTTGGTAGGGTAGATGAGGCCTCGGGTCCGGTCGTTGTTTCTTTAGAAGATCCAGGAGCATCCCCCCCCAGCCAGTCCTCCACAGCTCCGACATCTTCAGGAACATAGTCCTCGTTTTCCTTAGCCACTTGGTCCAAGTACTCGGACAAACGATCCTTCAAATCGGAGCCGTCCAAATCAGGCACACCAGGCGGAGGCAAAGGCTCGTCCGGCGAATCCCCAGGCGGGGCGCGTGGTCCGGCACCATCTGTGCCTCCCCACGAGCAGTCCTGATCTGAGAGGGCCGGCTTGCGGAGGCTCTCCTGCAGTGCAAGCTGCTCCGACCTCATTGGGAACGTAAAGTCCCCAGGCAACAACTCCATCCGCTTGGACCTCAGAATGGGGAAGTTTCCAATCTCGAACGCGAAGTCGCAGCCCTTGACAGGAGTGACAAGATATTCCTCCTTCCAAATGAAGCCAGGCTGAATGTGATAACCAAGAAAGATTCCCTCAACACCAGTCGGCGCAAACTTAGAGTCCGCAGGAATGTTCTGTTTGGGGTTGTTCCAGTACAACACACGTGCACCAAAAGGAATCATTAACCCTAAAAAGGGTTCCCCATACCTGGCCTCCCAGGGAACAATCCCATTGTCAAACCTCTTAGTGGCGTTGAGGGCCATAGCGTGGTGTTGGGCGGCCAACGGCCAAAGCTTGTCGGGGAGACCCGCCTGAACAAGGTTGGAGCGGGTACCCTCCAAAATCGTCCGAATTTCTCTTTCGATCACCGACTTGTTGGTGTCCACATATTCGCGGGATGTAACATGTCGAACACCCAGGCTTTTGATAGCTGCATGAAGCTCAGGTGCGTTGTCGGAGTAGAAAACCCCAACTGTGTCTTCTTGACCTAGGAAATGAAGAAGGTCTTCATAACACTGATCGCTTGACTTAGTCGGAGAGGGGTAGACGTACCGAAATTTGGTGAACACGTCCTTAACAACAAGTGCGACCCTTTCGTCCTGGAACCCATGATCACGAAGGTCACGAGTGATGATATGGTCAACAGTGATGTGGTCCCCAAAGGCCTTTGACACAATGGTACTTGAGCCCCCCTTTTTGCGGGCTTGGGGAGCCAACATCTTTGCGCGCTGACATACCTCGCAGAACGGATTCTTGGGCCTGTGCGAGAACAAGTGCTCAACAGATTTGGCTTCAGCTTTCAGATCGGCCTCTGCAAGACTGCGGGCGTTTCCTTCGTTGTCACTGTCAGGTTCAACATCGGGGTCTTCGAAGATAGTGAGGCTCAGGATTGGGTTACCCTCCAGTCGGGCAACTTTGTTGTCAAGCTCCCTGACGTTCACTTTATCCTCAACCTTGACCCAAGAACCTTCCCTGAACAACCAAGTAGATCTGACTTCGCATCTTGGAAACCTTGGTGTGGCAGTACGAAACGTCTTTGGTTTGTGTCCGACAATCAAGTACTTAGCATTTGGGTGCGAAACCCAACCTGGTCTTTTGAGCTTTTCTTTGGGAATGTCTATTGGCGGCACCTCATTGATGGCTGCTGAGATCTCAGGATCGGGGTGCTCGACCACTGGATCTCGGTCCTCTGCTGCTCCTGCGAAAGCCTCGGCCGGCCCTATTGGGCGGCAGATTTCTGAAAACCCTCGGACAGAATTGGCCGTCCGAGAGATCCTGAGGCTTCTTCGTTGGTACTTGGGGCGGCCATTGCTCCTCCCCCAAGGACAGGCACCATACCTCTCATTCTACACCTTAGTCTTTGACCATTGGGCGCAACGAAGTAAGGCGGCTTTTTGGGGTACCAATGGAACTCATAACCGTCCTCCATGCACCTTCTTCCAACAGAGCAAACAGGAGGAGTACTTGCGAGAACGTAGAACTCTAGCTCTTTGCCAAACTCCGGGAAGTCGATCCTGACCGATTTGTCACCCTTGACATTTCCGTTAGCAGTGATGAGGTTTACTTGTCGAGTAGCATTGCCTATCGGCTCTTCGCCAAAGTACATAGCACGATCAGCTTCGCTGATGAGGTCCTCCTCGCTCCCCGTATCAGCAAGGAATTCTAAGGGCGTGGCGATTCCTGGACAGGCGATCTCTGAGCTCTCAACGACGTGCTTGCACATCCCACACATGAGAGAATCAGGCTCATCACATTCTAAACGGCAGTCGGTTCTCTCTCCCCCCTCATGCCGGGCAAGGAGCATAGTGAGTTCCCTTGCGTTCCTAATTGCAACCTGAAGGTCATTGTTGTCAGGTTTGGGGCAATTTTCCGCATCGGCATAGCAAGTGTTGTACCTGCGAACTTTGTAGGAATGCTTGTACCCCTTCCCTTCAAAAGGAATTTCCCTGACTTTGGGCTTTTCACAAAACTTGACCTTCTTGTTTTGTTCTTTGATTTTGAACACAGTCTTGCCAGTCCATGGCGTCTTGTCGTTCGTCCCCCCTTTTCCCCCTTTCCAATCCCAACTCTCCTTTGCTGTGTAGGGAGCAACGGGAAGAGTCTTGATCACCTTGGCCGTACCTTTCAACTTTTCAAGAGCAACAGGGCATGACATTTCAGGCTTGTACATAGTACTTCTGTAGTTCAGGTGATGTCGAATGGCTTCACCCCTTTTGAAATCCATTTCCCAGTAGTCCTTCTCTCCATCTTGTGGGTCATCTCCCTCGGGACGGATTGAGGCTGCAGCCGCAATCGAGATGCAGCACGCGGCTCTCCTGTCCTTCTCCTTAGAGCGACCACGGCTTGGCTTTCTGCGCGTTGGCGCAGGCGATGGAGACCTAGGTTTGTCTGGGTCCTTAGGAGCCGGGGCTGCGTTTTCACCACCTGTGGGAGCGGGGCTCGGTTCCCTATGCAAGAAACGGCACTTGTCTCCCCTGGTACATTTGCCTTTCTTCCAAAACGTGCATACCTGCTTCTTCTTCGGGGCGGTGCGAACAGGGGACTGCGAGCGTGGTTTGTGCGAGAACTTGCACTTGTCGCCCCTGGTACACTTACCCTTTTGAAAATCGTAGCAAACTGGCTTTGGGCTTGGTGAACGGCTAGGTGATCTAGACCTGGACGGGTCCTAGAGCGAGATCTTGACTTCGAGTTGGATTGGCTACCGGCAGAGCGATCTCTTCCCCGGCCACTCCTTGACGGAGGGCGTTGCGGCCTTCCGCCTTCAAGAACAGGAGCTCCAAACTTGTCCCCATGTGACTTAGCGATTCTATCCCTATTCTTGCGCATCCTTTCACGGGTTAGCAAATCCCGAATGGACTTCAACAAGAACGCGTAGGAATGTGAGGCAGAACCTTCCTTGGCCCTATCGTAGATCTCCAAGTCGTATTTCATCCTTGAGGACTTGCGGATTTGGCGGAGAAGGATGTCACGCAGAACCATTTCTTCTGGAACATGACTCATACCGGCAATGACTGACTCCCAATTGTGCAGGAATGTAGTCAAGTCGTCACTATGCAGTGTAACCTTCAAAAGGTCTTCTACTGAATAGAGCGACCCTACTTCTTCATTGGTTTTGAAGTACTGATCAAACATAAGCAACACCTGGCGTCCTCGTACCGCACGTCCATGGACCGCCTCGGTTTCCTTGAAGGTGAGCACCTGTCGAGATAACTCTCCCTTGGCGACCTTGGTAAGCGCGGCTAGGATTTTGGTATCCAGCGTGAGGAACTTTCCTGGTTCACGGAGCTTGTCATGATCAGCATCCTTCGCGTAAACCTCTAAAATCCAAGAGAAAGCTTCGTCTGGTCTGTCTGAGGCTGCCCTAACCGCTTCCCGAGTTGCTGTTTTCCACGCACGATACGTTTCGGGGTTGGGGAAGTCCGGCAAACGGATGTTCTCAGCCTCTTTGACCTTTGGCTTGTCATCTTCGCCACCTTTGTCTCCCTTGAGGAGTCTGGCGGCTTCCAGCAACGCTTGTTGCGTCTGTGCGATTAAATCAACTCCAGTGGCTGCCGGACTAGCCGGCGTGCCCATTGGGACCGCGAGACCAGACACTCCTCCACCTAAGCCAGTCGAGGGCACAGGGGTTCCCGGGGCTTGTGTTGGAGCTCGTGGCCCCGCTGGTGTGGCAGTAGTTGCCGCACCACCAAAACCGGAAAACATTGCTCTTAGGCTGAGCGGGATCACGCTTGGCGATGAAAACTGAGGAGCTGTCGGCACATTGAGGCCGGCACTTTGCGGTACCGTTGCTGGGGTCACGGCCGGAGGGAACTGAGCTTGGGACGCAGTGTCCTGAGAAGCATTCCTGTCCTGCTCGAGTTTGAGCGCACGCTCAGCTGAGGAGAGTTCGTCCTGAAGAACATCATTTTGACGCCTCATTTCCTCTTCACTCTCGCGGGCAAGCAACCTATACTGCTGCATTGCTTGGTCATGTTCCCTACCAAACCACTCTCCCACCTCATTGAGGGTTTGTGTTTTGTTCTCCTCTGCTTCTTCGATTAAAGTTGTTCGAAGTTGCGTGATCTGCGAACTAACGCTGGAAAAATGTTCCGTTTGGAAAGCGATGACTTGGTGTTGTTGTCGCAGCTCTGACACGAGATGATGATTGGCTTCGATAAACTGATATCGTTGTGTGGCAATCTCGGATTCGAGCTGTGCAACGATCTCCTCATGCTGTCGATTTGCTCGTTCTTCAACATTAGCGATTCTTTGATCATGAGCATATTCGGCAGCCTGGCGGAACCTCTGGTGTCTGTTCTCTGCTTCAATTTCAAGTTCACCGAGAAGCGATCTGGTTTGTTCCGGAGATTCACCGACCATGATGTTTTGCTGGAAATTCTGTCGATACATGTGCAACTGTGGTGCGAACGGTACGGCCGCAAAAGGAGTTCGGGCGTTTGGCTCAAACACATTAGTGCTTGCTGCGCCCTCTTCCAGTGCACCGTTCGTAGCAACTTGCTCAGAAGCAGTCTGGGGTAGTCCCACAGGAAGCATGTCGTCAGATTCCAGGTCGGGCAACCGACTTCGGTGGGAACCAGCTCGGGGCTGTCTCCCATACACCAGTGTTTGCCAGAGTAACCAGAGGCGCCGCAGACTCAGTAGAGCCTACGGCTGATAACCTATAGTTTGGGAAATCCACCAATGCAATCCGTTAAGCCATGAAACACAGGCGCACTTCTACCTTTTTGTCTCAGAGGGCTTGAGTGCGATAGGTGCAACATACATGAAGGCAAAAGTGGCAAGGAGGTCCGAATATAAAATACACGAACCCCCGAGAAACCCCCAACAATGCCTCAAACTCGCCCCCCCCCAACAGACAACCCTAAGCGGCCCAAGCCCGGCGGCATCGCGCGAAGAGCCCTGTGACTAGCGGCCGCCTGCAGAGTCAGCACCCGGCCCAGCATCCTGTGGATCTGGGTCCGAGCTGTGAAACTCTGCGAGATGCGACAAACCGCCGGCGGGGTTGCTCCACATATGGGGCTCCACAGCTCCACGCAAAGGCCCCTAAACCCTAAACCCTAAACCCTAAACCTTAAACCCTAAACCCTAAACCCTGAACCTTTGGAACAACCCCCCCTACATGGAGCCATGGCGAGATGCAGGTCAGCCCAGGGGGGTTAGAAGGTTTGTCCCTGTAGAGGAGGTCTACTCAGCTACTGTTGGTAGGGTTCAGGGTTTAGGGTTTGAGGGTTGAGGGTTTAGGGGCTAGGGTTCAGAATTTCGACTACTTGCTTCAGAACCCCCCCCCCACTTGTTGCTTCATACGCGAAACCCCCCAAATAACCATCCAAATACCTAAAGCTCTTGCCCGGGTTGGCCGTAAAACCCTTTAAGCCCGTGGAAAAATACTTGTATAAAGGTCCCTATAAACCCAAAGAAGGCAAACATGAAAACATCCCTAAGGTTAAGCTAATTGCTTAAACCCGTGCTCCTAAACCCTCGTATGCTCCAGGAACCCTAAACCCTAAACCCTAAACCCTAAACCCTAATCAGGTTCTTCAACGGTTCTTGTGATCGTGGGTGCAGCAGCTACCGACTGGCAAGTCTTCTACACATTGATACTTGCCTGAACTTAGTAGGGTAGCTATTCATGAAATCTTTAGCTACCTTATTCAGAAACCCAATAAGCCCAAAAGGCAAAGGATCTAACTTTACAGTATAAACTAAATCTTTAGCTGCCTTATTCAGAAACCCAATCAGCCCAAAAAGGCAAAGGATCTAAAGTTACAGTAAGGCACCACAAAGCCTAGACCTGATGGCCATGAGATCGGGTAGTGCTTAGTTGCTGAGTTCATAAGCCCCCCAAAAAAGTGTACACTTTCAGTTCTACAGGGGGTTATAGTATCCCAACAAGTGTAAAGTGTACTCACTCCGCTTCTAAGGTCATGTAAGGTAGCATCCGGGTTTAGGGCTTAGGGCACAGGGTTTAGGGTTCCGGTACTCTTATAGGGTATGTAAAGTGTACTCACAACCCTAAACCCTAAACCCTAAACCCCCTAACCCTAAACCCTAAACCCTAAACCCTAAACCCTAAACCCTAAACCCTAAACCCTAAACCCTATGTAAAGTGTACTCACTCAGCTACTAAGGCAGAGATGTCAGACCTGGCAAGCCCGGCAGGCTGTCGACTCGGGGCCCTGCGGTCGGGGCTTTGGGGGCTGGTTCAAGGCAGTGGGGTTTGGGGTTTATAGGGTTTAGGGTTTATAGGGTTTAGGGTTTATAGGGTTTAGGGTTTAGGGTTTAGGGTTTAGGGTTTAGGGTTTAGGGTTTAGGGTTTAGGGTTTAGGGTTTAGGGTTTAGGGTTTAGGGTTTAGGGTTTAGGGGTTAGGGCCCAGGCCGAACTGCAGGCCTCGCTTCGCCTGCTGAGGCTCCCTATGCACAGGCAACGGCCTCCTCTGTCGAAGGACCGACAAGGAGGGCAAGACCAAGAAATCCCAAATCCTAAACCCTAAACCCTAAATCCTAAACCCTAAACCCTAAACCCTAAACCCTGCAAACTCGGCAAGCTGCGGTGTTCTTCAAACGGAGTCTAGGGGGCGCACTCGTGCTCCCCCCCGAAATTCTCTCATAGCAAAAACAAAAAAGCCGCTTCAAGAACGGGATCCAACTTCCTTTCACAAGGTTGTGGCTCCCCTTCTTGCCCTTAAGAAGTGCCTCTGGGGATGTTCCCCTTTATACTATCTGTCTTACTAGGGATTATAGTACCCCAAAAAAGCCCTAAACCCTAAACCCTAAACCCTAAAGACGTGGTCCTCGCACCCAAGGCTTTCCACCTTCAGACTCAAAGGAAAACGTCCTTTGGGTTTAGGGCTTAGGGGCTTGAATCCCCCAAAACATGAGTGACCTTTCGAAGTCCGTAATTGAAAAACTCCTTGCCCCCCCCCCCCCCCCCCCCCAAAAAAAAAATAAAAATAAGAAAAGAAAAGAAAGCACTAAACCCTGAAAGCGCGAATCCTGCCACTTCTCTTGAAGCGTGCCGGGGCCCAATTCCTCAAGGATCAAGCCCCGCGGCGAACTTGGACGAATTGGGGTGGCTCCAGGTAATGGAGTCCACTCAGAAGTACCTTCTTCACTACGTAACATCTCATGCATTAGATTACATAGTATAACATATACACACATATTTCGAAACAAAAAACATCATATATGAACTATGACAAGAAACATACATGATACACACACACATGTATATGTACATATATACACACATAGATACACATACGTACATGCTGCTTTCAAGAATGACGTGTAACATAATAAAACAAAACAACTAAATCTAAGCATATAACATACAATACATACATATATATATATATATATATGTGTGTATATATATATATATGTATGTATATATATATATATATACATATATGTGTCATGTTCTCATAACATGTATTATCAACCGAAACTTTTCCCATACAATGCCGACTTAGTTTCTTATGCACATACATATATACGTATACATGCATATATGTGTATAAATACATACATGCATGCATAGCATACACAAATTGGACAAGATCCATAACATAAGAGACTTGCATGACTTGCAGTCACTACCTGATGAGTACTACTACTAATCATAATCTCATAAAGTTCATCAAGAATATGAAAAACGCTTCTGCGTATGTGCATGTATACACAACCATCTATATTGGCATAGCGTGTATTAAATTCACCAAGACTACCCACACGCTCCATAGCTTACGCGGTTCTAGTCTGCATGTTTGGAACGCGGTTGTGCATTGAAATGCGCGAACTGTTAGGAGCGCGCGCAGAGAGCAAGTTTACATTTTAAGTTACGGCACATAATACATCATATAACCAACTTGATAAATGTTATATAAATATGTATATATTTGTATATGTGCATATATATATATATGTATGTACTATGAGTAGTATTATATCGTTCAAAACTTTGAAGTGTACAGTAGGTTTACAAACGAAATCAAAACAATACTGTGCATCAAGAGGCCATATGGTTTATGTTTATATGTGTATATGTATATATATAAAAATATAAATATCATATAGTAAATAATGTTCGACACAAAGCAAACATGTAAGAGAACAGATGCACTATTACATACACACGTGTGTATGACTATAGAAAACACACGTTCTACATACATATATGTCATGATATATACATACACATACGAACATGCACAATCTGTAGTAAATAGTTCAGAACATACAACATACAATATACATACAATGTAGTACAATCCACAACATGTTTCATACTACACTTTCTTGTGGCTATATGTAATTCGACATGTAGGCAGTACATTTCGCAGTAGAACACTCACATACATACATATCTATATTTATATCTATATCTATATCTATATATATGTGTATATATATATATATATGCTCGCCCCCCCCCCCCCCCCATGATCCACACATTTGGCCTCGGGAAGGGGGTTTTGGGAGGGGGGGGACTCCAGACTCCAGATTTCCAGAAAAAATCTGGAGTACCGGGGCCCCGGACTCCAGACTCCAGATTTCCAGAAAAAATCTGGAGTACCTCCAGACTCCAGACTCCAGATTTCCAGAAAAAATCTGGAGTACCAGGGCCCTGGACTCCAGATTCTGGAGTCTGTAATCTGGAGTCTGGGGCCCCGGGTACTCCAGATTTTTTCTGGAAATCTGGAGTCTGGAGTCCGGGGCCCCCGTACTCCAGATTTTTTCTGGAAATCTGGAGTCTGGAGTCCGGGGCCCCGGTACTCCAGATTTTTTCTGGAAATCTGGAGTCTGGAGTCCGGGGCCCCGGTACTCCAGATTTTTTCTGGAAATCTGGAGTCTGGCGTCCGGGGCCCGGGTGCATATGGAGTCCGGGCCCATGTTCTCCATATGCACGTTTAGGCATTACGGTTTAGTGTTTATTGTTTAGGGTTTAAGTTTAGGGTTTGTAGGGTTTAGTGTTTAGGGTTCAGCGCTTAGTGTTTAGGGTCTAGTGTTTAGGTTTTGGTTTTAAAGGTTTAGGGTTTACTTTTTAGGGTTTAGGGTTAAGCGACTTGGATAATGTGTCTAAAACCCTAAACCTTATAATGATGAAGTTTTAAAACCCCGAAAAGACTGAAACCCCATGTTTTTTTGGTTGGGGGTGGTTTAGGGTTCAGGATTTGTTGTTTCGGGTTTAGGGTTTAGTGTTCAGTGTTGAGGGTTTAGTGTCTAGGTTTCAAGGTTTAGTGTTTTGTGTTTAGGGTTGAGTGTTAAGTTTAGGGTCTAGGGTTTAGGTTTAGGGTCAAGCGGCTTGGCTAAAACCCAAACCAAATAAAACCCTAAACTCCAAAATTTAAACAGCAAGCATCTGAAACCCCGACGGGTTTTTGGTTTCAAGGTTTAGACTTAGTAGGGCTTGAGGTTTTTGGGGTTTACTGTTTAGTGTTTAGGGTTTAGTGTGTAGGGTTGAGTGTGTAATGTTTAGGGTCTAGTTTTTAGGGTGCAGTGTTTAAGTGTTTAGGGTTTAGTGCTTAAGCGTT